ACGGCTCATTTTGATGACGTTCACAGTTTCTGGTTCTTAGAAGTTTCATGACCCACTAAAGTCTGTGGTGGCAGCTCAGCCCTGCTGCATTTATGACACCGGTGTGATGCACAAAGTCCAGCTGTGCTTTAAAACACTATATGGCACCTTTACATAAGTTTATTACGATGATTACGACCTAATTGTTTTAAAGCTCCAATTAACCCCCTTTGCGACGACAACACAAACCACCTACACATCTAGATCTGGATCAGCGAGTCTGCATCACAACATCGGCCAAAAGTTGTGACAACAGGCATCACATATCGCACAGTTTCCTAAACAAACGCTGCTTTAGTCTCACATGTGGTCGGCGTTGAGAACGAGGAAGAAATCAACACTCACCCACAAGCCCGACGATGAGCAGTTTGCCCAAGAACAAGAGGAAATCTGTCACTTTATCCAAGACAGCAACTCTGGGCGACAAAATGGAATCATTTAACCATTAAAACTGTATTAAATCAAGCTTATAAAATGCTTCTTGTAAAAGTTTATCTGATTTCAACATACCTGAGCAAGTTCCTCATGAGGAGTAAGAAGGCATCTCTGGCTGAGGCGCAGAAGTTTTTGCCATAAATCGCCACCTGGAGGCCAAATGCACTCGTTACATCCAAAGTCAACGTGATCAGAACCAGAAGAATCAGAATCAGAAGCTTTTTTACTGCCAGGTGAAGGAATTTGGTGTGGTGAATGAGACCAGTACACAACAATAACAAGACAGGAATAAATATAGAAATCCAAGAAATTCTAAATAAAATATGCAAAAGAAAAGTATTAAAGAACTACATAAAAGAAAAGAGACATAAACTTGATTAAACCAAGTGATAAATTAGGCAACAGTTTAAATTACGCTGTTAACGCTGCGTCGGTTTAAATGAATGAGTTCGGTGAGCGACGCACCATGATGTAGGCGTTTCTGTTCAGGAACTTGATGCATTTCTCCAGACACCAGAAGCAGCACTTCAGACAGCACAGCAGGAACTTTGCAAACTTGTTCTGGGCTCCTGTGAATGACACCATGATTGATTGATAAATGATGTATTTGTCCTCACCTATGTTAACTAGTGAAGCAACCAGGTGCCATAAAACTTAACACTGGTGTCCTATGTGATCTATGCACAATGTAGTCCAGCTTATGCAAATATTATTGCAGATGATGGATTGCAATCGGACTCCAGAGAGCGCCACACCTTTCAGCTTGTGGTCCAGATACTCCAGCAAAACCCTGATGATCTGAATGATGGAGAGGATGAGGGAGCCGAACGCCAGAGTCCCTGTGTGATACCTGGAACGAGATTGAAGTGACTTTTAAACGTGGAACACACAGTGTGGGAAATGTAGGAAAAAAATGTCTGAAGAGAGATGCACACCTGAGAGCTCTCCCCAGGGAGGAAAACACCGGCCAGGCGGGCATGTCATCCGGCTTGACGAAGGCCCAGTAGTAAGAGGAGAAGGCCCCGGCTAAGGTCATCTGTCCCAGAGCCGTGACGAAGTTGGCGCACCAGAAGAAGAGGAAGACGTTGTAGAACTGGAGGCCGATCAGGTACTTGTGGTAAATGGTCTCGCCGCCGTAGAAGGCAAAAAGGCACTCTGACTCAGGACACTGAGCTTTCTCAGGACTCGTCGTGTAGTTCTGCGAATGGATACGGTTGATTTGGAGGGATTGCATTTTAGAAATCCAGAAGATTTACCGTCCAATGTGTAAAACACCAAATAAGATTCTGGTTTGTGACTGAGGCGTTAATGCAGCCACAGCGGCTCCGTGGGTCACGCTAACTTTACACTCGTCATCTTCTCTGCAGAGATTCGGGGAAATGAGGAGTTGCATAACTTGGCTTGTGAACCACGTCTAACGGGAAAATTAGCAAGAGCTCGTTGCAGCTGTCCAAGAAAAGCCGATTTTTGACACGAGCTTCTATTTAGTTTCACTTCCCCACAATCAGCTGGAAGAGAAGACGGAGAGCAGCTGGACTGAAGCTTTAATGCAAGATTTCTGTTCTGGGTTGCTAAGTTTGGTTTATTTCAGTTAGACTTTAAAATAAACATTAAAAAAGAACATTTGTTCCCTTTGGAGAGCAGCAGGGAGGGAGGCGAGGAGCACAAAGTTAGTGAGACACTTTAATCGCAAATATAACAAGTTAAGATAAACCAGAATCTAATCGAAGGAAATATGAGATGAAGCAGCTTCAACATGTCTTATACGCTGCGGTGAGATAAATGCGAAGCATTCATTTGAAAAAACAGACAACTCCATGTTCACAAACCTTCAGAAAACCCACTTCTTCATCGTCTACCTGAGACAATACCAGTCAAACTTCAGTTATCTCTACTTTTGTCATTTCTACTCGACTTCAGTTTGATTGATTTTATCTCAAGCAAACAACGAAAAAAGTTTACTGAGAATCTACAAACATGGAATTATCGGTTTGTGCAAATGAACTCTTCATATGATCCAAAAGAAACTGACGAGTGAGCAGACTTACGGCCGGGTCGCACGTTTTTCTCGAGTGTTCGCACTCGGTCTCGTTGAAAACCTTGTAGACGGGCTCGTTGGAGGTAGACAAGAAACTGATCAGCTCGTTAAGGACAACAGACAATGTCAGCTTCATTCAGCAAATCATTAATACCCAACATTACGTTCATTTGTGCAGATGTGTTTGAGCTATTTATACATTGTGACTACAAGCAGGGAGAACAAAGCACCCAAACCTACAAATTAAAGGCTCCATATTGTGCCCATTTTTAGCAAATTATAAGTCTCACATTTCCCCACAGTGTGTCCTTCAGTTTTTCAGATAAAATCACTACAAAGATGGTCCTTTTTACGATGACTGTATAACAAACTGTTTGCATCTGTGATTGACAATCAGAGCTGTCAATCAATCACACTTTGAGCTGGATGACCAGTGGTTAGTCAGGTGTTACACAGCAGCTGGATTGAATCCTAACCGGCTTGTAAAGCTGAAAGGCTAACTAGCTTTGGGAGGAATGGCAGCAGTAAGCGTTTTAATATCTTAACAGCTTTTGTTTTATATAAGTTTATCACATGACAAGATACTATAAAAATGGATTATCATGGGACCTTTAATGGCCGACCTGCTCTACCAGACCGGCTTAATGAGTTAACCACACAGGCTTTAAGGGCTCATTTTCATACAAAGTGTTGCATACACTTGTGAAAGCTGCCCTCTGCTGACTCAGGCCACATTTACATACAGCAAATACTGTGATATTTTATTGCGTCTGAGCCTTTGGTTTACACGTAAACGAAGCTACAAGTCACCGAAAACAATCACATCTGAAAACTCCAGCCAAAGTGGAGATTTGGAAAAACTTCATCTTTACGTTTGCATGTAGACAGGAGGAGATGGAGCTTGACATCACAGTGTGCAACAAAAGCGTCACATGTGTGCGACCATGTTTACATTTTGGCTACTGTGATACAAAGTCAATATTTTCAAGAATTTTACTTGTTGTGTATTCTAACACCACATGTAGGAGCAGCTCTACTTCTCTGTCGGTCCAAACAAACGACCCTCACACCATTATCGTTGAAGTAACAGGAAGTTTTCGTTGTTGTGTTTTTTTCAGGATTCTGATTGGCTAGCATGCTTCTCGTTACACCACCCCCTATAGGTTTGGCAGCTCATAGCAACTCTTAACGTGTTTATGCGGGTTTGTCTAAACAAAGATTTTTTTTTTTAAACGGTCTGGTGTGACCAATGTTACTTTTGAAAACATAGATTCGTTTTTGTGAATACCAGGCTATGTGTAAACGGGGCTTAAGGCTGAATCCAAATCAACCTGTTGGGGCTGCAGACTTTTCCAGGCTTCGTGCAACAATCTGCCCATAATATACTACGACAACGACAGTGACGGTGACGTAGAAAAGAGATAGAAATCATTAGATTAGAACAATAATGTACAATATTCATATTTTATGTTGTTTTTTACATTAATTGCTATTGCGACTGCAGAATATACGTAATAAATGGATCTGACTTTGAATTTGCAGCTGGGCAAAAGGTTGGTTTTCATCCTCCTACACATCAAACCTTAGTCCTTGATGTGAATGTAATATCTGCAGCATCTATACATAGCAACAGAACCTGCACATCTCCTGCATACGTTGTCTGTTTGAGCATATTTCGACCCGCCATGGTGTAGAATCCTGATTATCATAAACATGTCAGGTAACCATCTGCAAGGGTGCAAATCTGAAGCAGGGGATATTTGGATTCAGCCTGCTCCGTGTACTATGTCGCCCTCTGCTGCCACCTTTTAAAAATAACTCCCTCTCACACAACAGCACTGCTACTTTTCAAGGTAATGCTGTTGTGCTTCTGCCTCATAAAACGGCCCACACATCAAGGTTAGCGCTGCTGTTTTATCTTTAATGAGCTATCTAAAATAATAAACCAGTGCGCTAGTTTCCTTGACGAGCCTCATGACTGATTAATAGTTGTGCTCCCGGGTCTTTGAACACAGTCAGCCTTAAGAAAAAAGCAGCACCGACTGTAACTTGAAAGGATACACAGCAGTAACGGCCCAGTAGGCGATGACCATGGCCAGGAGGACGAAGGTGAACAGCGGGTAGAAGAGGGAACACATCACATGCCCGATGGCTCTGTAAGCAGGACAACACTGGTGGTTACACACATCTCATCCTCGCAGCAGCAACTTGTGTTTCCGTTACTTCATCTGTGCCATTAGTCCGACACTTAAACCCATTACTGTGAGTGACACTAAAATGATTTTTAAGTCAGAACAATTTAACATCTAACTTCTATTGATCTGTTTTTCCACTCCTCCTCCTCCATCATCTCCTCTAAAAGTGCCTCTAATGTGAAGTCCTGACCTGCTCGCTTCTTTGATGAGAGCGATGGCGATGAGGAGTCTCTTCCTGAGGAAGATGAGCAGCAGGATGATGATGACCTCCACAATGGCCAAGATGATCACTAAAAGGAGGAGAGCGGCAGAGAGAGAGAGATCATAGAAGTGTTCTGGTTTTACAGCAACACACTGGAGTGTAGAGATATGCAGATGTTGTGGTGGGTACTAACTGAAGGCCAGCCAGGTCTGTCTGATCTGCAGGTACACGGTGAAATCTGTCTGGAAGCCCAGCTCCTGCAGAGTCACGTTAGCGCCCGGCTCTCCCTTCAGAGCAGCGTACTCCATGTAGCAGTGGAAGATACCTAGTCAGCAACAGCAAACCCACAACGAAACAAGAACACGTCATAAACTGCATTAAACAGAGAAGAGAAAGTAGAGTGCCGCGTTGCAGAAACTAAAGCTGCCAGGAAAAATAACCACTTCTTTAAAAAAAAATACAACAAAGGCAGCATACATTAAGCGTCTGGGCTTAAAAGAGGCGACGTTTCCAGAAAACCAGTTCCTCAGTTTGTCTCTTTTCTGCCAAACCTGAAGCAGCTGTCTTCTAGTCAGTCCTTATGAAAGATCATTCTTCGGTAGAAATGTATGTTATCTTTATTACAGATGCTGCTTTGATGCACACTTGGCTGTCAGTTTTCATGCTCAGCCATTAAACGAAGCCGTCGGTCAAAAACAAACGTCTCATGAGAGCTTCTTTGGAAAGTGTGAGAGACTCGATACTGAGACAGAAGAAAAAGTAAACACGTATTTAGCAATAAAAAGTAATTTTATCTATTTATGATACTTTTTACTAGAAAAAAAACTGTTATTTTTTGTTATGTGGCCAGTCCGTTGAAAAATTTCTTGCTTAAAATCAGTCCGTTGTGCAAAAAACTTTGAGAACCACTGCCGTAGAGTACTCTGATTATTTTTCTGATGTAGCATAATATGCTAATTTTGCATTTGTACCAATTTTTTAGCTTCCACAAAAGCAATTCACTGTCGATGCACTTTTTCACCATTTCCTTATTTCTTTGGTCGTCACAAATTCAAAAAGGAAAGAAATCACAGACCAATTCACACTAATCGTGATTCTCTCCTATTCATGTGCAGGTAGCCCTCTACTAGCTAACTGGTTCATTATATTAGCTGCGTGTTGAGAAGTGATGCATTGCAGCATGTACACGTGCATGTTTTTCTGTTTCTATAAAAGCAGCTGTGCCTAATATACTGAATGCCTCCGTTCGGTTTGCTATCATTAGCAGCTTAAAGGTTTCACAGGTGCCACCTGCTAGATAGCCTCGGTTTCTATTCCCTTTCATGTACTTCTTTTTTCATTGCAGCTAAAGTACAAAAACACTTGTTGTATGAACTGGGTGTGTAAACCCGTTGATTTTACGTTGACTTGTAATAAAACACATACAAAATTGTAAAAGCAACGTCTGTTCTCACTGTGCAGGATTATGGGCTGTAGATGAAAGGAGAGTTCTCATTGGTTGCACTGACGCACCATATCGTTGTGGATTTTATTTCACAATATTCAGTGAAATACAGTCGTTAAATGCTGCTTAACTGGACTGATATAACAAAACAACTTTTACTGAGTTTTAACCATGTAATTTATTTATAACTATCATATTATATTTTATATATTTTCATATATTATTTATAATTTTTTACTTATTTATATTTCTCATATATCCACAGTGTTCTTACCTCAACAGTGTAATATATTTATTCTATCGTTTGGCTGTTACCATGCTTAATCCATAACTGTATATCCTTCCTACTGGCTCCTTTTGTAAATATATTTATTATATATTCTTATTTGTCTTTTTTTATACTTACATTTTGCACCACTGGAGTCGTCTTTTAATTTCGTTGTACTTTGTGTATGATGACAATAAAAAGCATTCGATTCTATTTCGTTTCTTTCTGTCTTTCTTTCTTTTTTAACTGCAATCATTATTACCGGCTTTGTTTATTCTATATTTTTGTATTTAATTTTCAGTTGCTGCCTAGTGTGTTTCATACATGTTCAAAACTAGTACTTCAAAATATATCTGTGTTAATCGTATGTTAAAGAAATCCAGCTACTGATAAACGAGAGCACAAAGCAGAACAAAAATGAATTTGCATTAATTTTTCTCAGAACAACGCCGCCCATTTCTCACCTGTGTTTGCATACGCATGCAAAAACCCGGTTTGCCAGCTCTCCTGCTGCTGGCATTAAATGTGCTTTTAAAGGTCGTCTGGTGCTATCACACAGCACAAACAAGTTTCTCTCAAAACACAGCCGTATAAGTTTTGCAAAAAAAATGTGAGCGAACAGTTGCGTTGGCATGTGTGTGTGTCTTTTATTGCACTTCGTTAAATAGTGCCAAGTCATCACACAGCAGCAGAAATGATACATGTAACTTCATTAATTATTGAAAGGATCCGGCAGGATGTAACAGCAACTAATGTGTTTCCTCGTTCCCCGTGGACAGGTCCACTTGCACAAAGATTTGAAGTCTGACGGTGAAAGCGACCGTCTTCGTGGGTCAGTTTACTCAAATCGGACCCTTGAGGCTGCAGCTAGCGTGTCGCTTTGGTTTTAATTATTCCACTCTGAAGACATCTGCGAATGGATAATCCAAGGAACACATGGGCGAAAGTTTTCACATGGACTGTTTTCCGTCTTGAGAACTGCCTACGTCTGTGGAAATTCCACACAAGGTGCCAACGCTGCAATAATATGTCTAGCTAGCTAGCTGGGTAGCTCTTTCTGCTGCTGTAGTTTCTACTGAAAGCACCAGATGACGGCTGTTTACATGCACCATGTAAGCTCAGTCTAAACAGAACTGACTCTCATCAGCTGTTCTGGAGCTGATTCCTGCAACGGGCCACTGGAGGACTGAACTACTTTGAGGAGAGTCTGACAGAAATAATGATGCTGCTAATGTTGTTTGGTCCTTACCATATCCTATCACCAGTATCACCATGGCGATCATGACCCAGACCATGATCCCTGCCAGGAAGCGCAGGAGGACGATGAAGAGCAGGCTGGTGAGCATGGCGATGACCAGCCCTCTGCAGAGTGGGAGCACAGGGTGAGTGAGCAGAGAAACCAGCTGATGGTTTATTCTTGGCAGTGAACAAGAAAGTCAGCGACTTACAGGAGGATCCAGTACCAGGACTGCGTGTAATCCTCAAAGATCTTCATCACCACCTGACGAGCCTCAATAACCACAGTGGCATTCCTGCAGGGAGACACCCGAGTGTTTATCTGTTGCAGCGCTGAGGAATTTCTCGTCACGGAGCTGTTTGTAAAATCTAAGGCGGCGTGTTGGGACAGGCGAGGCCGGAGCTGTTGTCTAGCTGTGACAGAACAGCATTAGTCTTTGTCACAGTAATTCCACCGATGTACTCACTTTACTCCGTCCACAAGGTCTTTGGCGTCTCTCATGGTTCCCGTTCCGTCATCGAAGTGGGAGTTGTTCCCCACAGTTATCACCCCTCCTTTCTGGCCTAAAGCTGGGAAGCACCTACGGGTGACTGGAGGAGAGAAGATGAGAATGTCAAGAATGTAGAACAACTTTTCAGCTCTCTGGGCATCAACGTCATACACAGATGAGCCACAACATTAAAACCAGGCTGCTCCTGTGCTGCTAGAACAGCTCTTCAAGGCCTGGACTCCACAGACCTCTGAAGGTTTCCTGTGGTACCAAGATGTTAGCAGCACATCTTTAAAGGTGAGGACTCCATGGATCAGGCTTGTTTCACCACAGATACTCGGTTGGTCAGCACCTTGAAACTCTTTGTCATGTTCATTCAAACTATTCCTGAACAAGGCCGTACATGTAAAAATAACACCCACGGGAATGAAGGACCCCGGGCAGAAGCAGAACATTGCCCTGAGCATCATACCGCCTCAGTTGGCTTGCCTTCTTCCTAAAGTGCATCCAGTCAGTTCTGATCACCACATACTCATTGTGGGCCTTTTCCGTTGTCGCTATGAACCCTCTGATGGGTCAACAAGCTGTCCTGCTCTTTGTGTTCTGACATTTTTCTATCACTTGCTGCCTGATGGGTGTCATTCGAACAAGACAGTTAATGTTTTTCACTTTACCCGTCAGTGGTTTTAATGTTGTGGATGATCGGTGCATTTATTAACTGTACCTACATTTTGAATGATCGATCTTTTGAAGGAGGATATTTTAGAAATAGGTGGAGATTCAACTCACAGGGCTTGCTGGGCGTCAGCATGGCAGGACAGAGGCCTTGACTGAGGATCTGTGGGATACCCTGAAACACAGAAAATAGATGTGAAGGTCTATTAAAAAAACACACTGACATATTTTAATCATGAAGGTAAAGAACCAGCTGCATCTTACCAGTGAAGTCGTCACACCTTCCTTGCAGAAGTTTTTGTAGTACTCAAAGTCTTTGCTGTTGCTGTAGGCTTTGACTAATGTCATGAACTTCTCAGGGCACTTGTCCACACACATCTGAGGATCAACATTTACAGCAAGTCACATCAAGTGCAGGCAAAGCGTTCACTCGTGGGTAGAAAACGCAACACAGCAGGGAGAATGAACGCCAATAAGCAATTTGAGAACGGTGAGAAAAGATTGATTGGAGGAGAGCGGAGTTTATACCTGTGTGGTCGGACACTGGAACTCCAGCAGCACCATGGGGCTGGCACACTTCATGATGTTGAAGTAGAACAGAAACGGCTTCTTTCTGTTGAAGGCAGGAAAAACACAGGAAATGGTCAAGATAGATGTCAAGATAGATGTCTGGATGTCTAGATAGATGTCTAGATAGATGTCTAGATGGAGAGATGTCTAAATGATAGATGTCTGGATGTCAAGATAGATGTCTAGATAGAGAAATAGATGTCTAGATGTCCAGATAGATGTCTAGAGAGATAGATGGATGTCTAGATAGATGGATGTCTAGATAGACAGACAGACAGACAGACAGATCATCCTCTTGGGGAAATTCAAGGTATCCAGTAGCTCCCACATGTTACACTTAAAAACATTCACAAAGACACGAAACAACGGAGCTACGCAGACTTGCTGCCACACAAAGACAAGTAAAGGAACGACTATGGACTTCAAGCAATGTGTGATTTGAGCACCTAACAAAGTTGGTCAAAATTCAAACATGACACACAGCCCTTCCTCAGTGGACCACTCACTACCATTCTGATCTCTTTTGCCCTCATCGGGTCTGTAGTTGCTTCCCTACACAGTCCACTGATCAGTCTGCAAAACAAATACTACCAACTACAAAAAACATCATTACTCTACGTGGATTTAAAAAAACAAGCAAGCAAAATAGTCACCTGAGGGTTAACAACTGACAGAATCTGGAAAGTTAATTAAAGGCTGGATGTGCTCATGTCAACAGTAGATTTAATTTGATTCAGGGCTCCAAAGTACGACCAAAACTCTGTCAATTTTTATTCATTGGCTGCTCAGGTGCGGCCGACATTCAGCAGGTCTGTCTCTGTGCTTGTATATGTGTAGCGCTATTTTTTTCCTCACTTGCATTCTGCATTACATCAGAGATTGGTCGGCTTTGCCAGCTGCTGCAGCTCTTTCTTCTGCTTCCGTCTGAGCTCCTGCTAGCTGCCCTACGCTCAGACTCACAGGCGTTTCTATCCCTGTGAGTCACTGCAGTCTGGTGTTGTATTTTAGCTTCATGATATTTGGTGTACAAGCTGAGTACTGCCTTTATTAGTGACATTTGTTCGTGCTGGTTTATCCAGATTTTATTTTTCTGTACTCTCTGACTCATTAGAGACACTAGTAAATTACAAAGTGTGTCTGTTTGGAGGTTTTTTAATGTCCTTAGTACACATAATTGGCATTATTACATTCTGGTAATGTTGTTTGGCTGTATTTGATAACTTGCAGTGCTCTGGCTGTTTCCTGCTGTCAAACAGTATTACACAGAGATGATGCTGCGGATACCACGTCTGAGAGAAATTATATGGGACAGCAGATCACTTTTGGGAGGGGTCAGCAGATTGTTTCAATTGGGAGAGGTAGGCCAGTAATCCCAGTCAGAGCTTAATCCACCGTTAGTCCCTGTTTCTCGCTCCACACCCACCGTCCACACACACCATTGGCCATTTTGTACTATTCTCCTGCAGGAGAGGAGCTGGAACAGGCAGCTACATGGTGGTTTTTCGTTTGTTATTATCAGTAAGAAACGCTTCATCGCACAGTGCAGAAGCCCAACAGTTACACTTACTGCTGCAGCACCAAATGGTTTATAGTTGGTGGACCTTTATTATGTGCTGATGCACCTAAATGAAAATTTAGGCACAACAGGGGAGCAAATTTAGCAAATTTAGGCCTCAATATTAGGAGATGGAGGAGATTTGACTGTACTGTGTAGACACCTTATTGTGTTGTAACTATGAATGAATATTGAACATTTTTGGCCACTGATGTGTTAAAATCAGAGACTGTATTTGCTGGTGAGTGAATTTTTTTGTATCAACTGCAGGATAAGAGATGTTGTAAATACTTTTTGATAACCTTTCTCTGCATACTTGGCATTAATGTTGATTTATTGGTCACATGACATGAATGTACTCTATATGAAGCAGCTGGAAACACTTGAATAAAACTCACTTTATTACTGTTTGGCTCGTTAAGCAGAATTGTGTAAACGTACTGAAGCTCCAGCTGTTCTGTAACTCGCTTTCAACATAGGTAGAAACTGTCCAACAGTTACATCTATACTTGGAAAGCAACTCACTCTAGCGGCGTGCCAGCCTGCCCGCAGAACTGCCCCCGACTGTCTGTGGGATAGATCACCTTCCTGGGATCGCCCTGGGACCAGGCTGGGAGAACAGAAATAGACGTTAAAGGTTACAACGCTTGATTTGTTTTAAAGATAGCGTTTAGGGTTTTTTTTTTTCTTACCAAGTATTCCCACTGCAATATAACCCAGTACAGCAACAATGAAGAGGATGCAGCACACAATGTCTGTGCAGCCCCTAGAAACAGAGAGAGCAAAGTTTTAAAAGGGTTAGAAGATTCCCTTCGTCGTCAGCCACCTGTACAAGTCAGGAGTAAAATCACATCTCTTGTCTCACCTGTTCTGGATTGGACCCTTGAAGGCTGGATCATACTTCCTCGGCTCGCCTGCAGAGAAGAGAGAAGTGCATTTATCACTCTGTGAGCTCTAGTGAAAGCACATCTTGGTGAGAGCTTCAAGGTGACATCTTCATGTTAACTGTTCATTAATTCATGTTTAAAATAGAGATGCACCTTGTACCAGGATTAAGTTTTAAAAAGGGGGGAGGTGGTTTAAGGTTAGGGAGCAGAAAGTCCCGTCTTCCTCCCGTTCTTCTGTCAGATGACTTTTCCCTTCAGGCGAGACACGCCTGGCAGCCCAACAAATTCCTCTCTAGTGACTAAGCAGTGGCAGACCCATGAGAACGAAGGAGCCGGCATAACTTAGAAAAGCCACCAGAGGGGCTCTAAATCATTTATTGTAGTACATTTACTTTGACAAGCCAATGTCCAAGTAAATGTCGTGTTAATACGGATTTATGCCAAAACCAAGTTACCACAAGTTACTGTGCAGACTGTGTGAAAGGTACATTTATACACAATATTTTATCAATACAGGAGCAAATCAGACTATTACTGTTAAACACACATCCCTTGGTTTGCACTGCACAGAGTTGAAACAACACGACAAGGTGGTGCTGCTGACGACTGATGAGCTTTATGGTCGGATCAGGCTACAGGAGTTTTAAATCCCGAGCAGATTTTGAAATCAGCAGAGAAACTTCAGATATTCTTCTTCTCTCTAAAATCAGACAGGCACGCACTACAAGACTGGAAAACAGTGACGCATCACAAAATTCAGGTTATAATTATGATTATTGCCAGAGGAAAAAGTCAGGGAGCAGCGCACCACCTCACATGATCTCATGGGGAAGCAAATGGAAATCAAATGGAGAATGTGGTGCGACAACTTTGCTGTGATGCTATTCTTACTTTGCAGCGAGTAAAAACAAAAGCAGGGGGCTAAATGAGTTTGGAGGAGAAAAGGATTTGGAAAATGATTTTGGCTTTTGTTATTCTTCAGTGAGAACTTGAGATGAGATTGTAACCATCAGTGTTATTATCTGTAGCTGACGTT